TTTCAATATGGGTGGAGAAAAATACATAAATAACTAAATAAAAATCACTCACCACTTCGCTAACCAAGGGGATAGGCTTCTTTTTCCTAAGGTCAGGCATGCTATCAATGCCAAATATTCCTCCTCCCCTGAAGATAACAATATGGATATTCCAGTAAAGGAAAACAAATGTTTGATAAAGAACAGCTAAACAACAACACGGTTCAAACTGAAAATGAGCAAGAGATCATACCCAGGTTTGGCCCATGGATGTTTGTTATGGTCTCCATTGATATTCTGTTGAGAGGTTGATCATATTGTCATGCATTAAAACAAATATAAAATGTTAAAGCTTCATATAGACAGCAAAAACAGCACTTAATAAAAATGTGGGAAATAGGGAGAAAGAGGAATAGAGAAACCATGCCGTTTGGTTGACTGAATTTCACCACCATATTCATGAATAGACAAGCAGAATGTTCCAGTCATGAGAACAATTCTAGTCAAGACCAGATTAGACATGCAAGGGCTCAGGAACCAAGTACTCAAAACTCTATAAAGTACAATTCCTGTCAGAAAATCACTATTTAATTTACTTTCAAGAAGCACATTATTATCCTAAACCTAACAAGTGAAAAGGATTTTTGTTTTTGATGTAAAGTAAATAAAGAAAGATAAAGACATCTTTCAAAGAAGCAATTATATCCAAATTTGAACAAATTAGAACAATAAAAAAGTTAGAAAATAACTTAATTTTGATACTTTTACATTTATAATATTTTTATTTAATATATAATTAGGACAAATTATTGAAAAGGCATTTATGCCATCTCTGTGCTGTGTCAAAAAAAGTGCAAACACACCATTTTATCTCTTAACTCATCATGTAGCAACAGGCTGTGCACAAAATGAAATATTTCTTATTCAAAAATAGATTAATTGTTAATGCAATTGCAACAAAATCAGCAAATTCCTTATGCAAAATCATCTGTAATGCCAAGAGAAAAAAATCATTGCTATAAAACTCTGACTCAGCAACTCCAGCAATAGGCCTTAAAATGAATCTGCCATCACAGTTTCTATTTTATACAGTATACCTGGGAGGGATACTTTAATGAGCCACAATCAATAACACAGACTGAAAATGTGGGTAATGTTTACAATGCAGCATAGTCTACAAGCCATGAGAACAAGGCATGATTTAAAAAAATAAATAAACCATAGACAAGTTACCCGACAGAATGCAGGAAACCCAAATCAAGGGAGCCTGTTAGCATCATGCACATTAAAGACCTTCAAACAGCATGATTTATTTCTAGCATTGCAAACATAAAACATAAAGGCACTTGGTAAATGATGTGAAAGAGATATAACCTGATCTTCATGCTGGCTTCCATCTGAAAATAACAACAAATAGCACAGCACACCAAGCTATCACACCATTTTTAAGCAGAACCAGACAGCAATCTTTAACTAAACGTAACATTATAAAGCAATTCAACTTATTGTCCAAGAACATTTACATCTGCACTGCAGACAGGGAGTTTAATAACCTTGTGTATATGGACAGAGAATATGAAATGCATACTGTGGACATTTCTCAGTTGATCTAGACAGTTCATGAAAGTTTCACTGAGATGTATTATTCATTTATAATGGCTCCTAAATTTTCCCTGTACTCTACTTTCACATCAGATATGTTTTCATTTCAATTTGATGTGTAATTAGTTTGTTTCACTAATTCACTAACACTGCAAATTTGACATTTCAGACAAAGAACTTCTAACGCGTGACAATGAAGTAGAACAGTTAATAGGAAAGTTTAGAGCCTCAAAACTCAATATACCTGGGTTCAAATCATCTTCAGAAAATGTTGACATGGTCACTATACTGAGTTGTCTTCTGGACTCTCTCTTCTCCCTTAGAATCTGCTGGAAACTCCTGAGGCACTTCAGACGACGTGCTTCCCGCTGACTAAGCTCTGCTTTACTACCTCCGTCTGTAGAGGACTCAGTAGGAGGCTGCGTTTCCCCTACTAGTGTTCTCCGCTCCTCTTCAACTGCTAGTTCCTCGGGGGAAAAAGAGTCTGGGATAATGTCTGTAGAGAAACACTGTGGTAAATGAGCATCGGCTGGATGTCCAGATGTAGCATCTGATGCATTACTTGTGGATGAGTCCAACCCTGGAGATTTTGGATGTTCTGAATCTTCAATATTATGCTGGTGGGGAGGTGATTCAGGATTTGCTTTGGTGGAGATGCATTGAGGTATCTCTACGAAACCTTTCTCAGTACTGATGGCTTGCGGCCGCTCAGAATAATTTATTTCTATTTGTGTAGTCTCCATGTGAGGCATCTCTAATTTTGGTGTCTTAGTATTTACAACATTTACCATTCCTTGTTGTTCCTCACACGGGGAAATTGGCGTATGGACTTCAACCCTTTCAGCAGGCAAAGTATCACTAGTTCCATCCATCTTCTTCAGAGCTCCCCGCAAGGCAGTTCTGAAGTCAATAACTGCTCTACCAAACTTTTTTACATTAAACGCCACATTACTGTCATCAGCAGAGTCTGGCTTCAAATCAGGGACATTTTGATTACAGAGTGATGTACCTTCACATAGAAGGTTCCTGGATGGCTCAATAATCACACTTTCTATTGACTGACTTTTAAATGGAACTACGCAATTTTCACAAGATGACGACATGTGATAAATGTCATTCTGATAAACAGAGCTCTGAGGACATTTACCACCTGCATTGCAATTATGGCAGCCCAAACCAGGTTCTTCAGGGAGCATTTCTGCATCATACAGCTTCCAATCTTCTCTATTGCTTGTATTAACAGGAGAGTTGTAGTGTTTACCAGATACTACGGATATTTGATCTGAGGTGCCCATCATACAAGTACTTACGGCTCTTGATGGGTCCCAGCTGTTCACTTCACCTGTGCAGCACTCTGCCTCTTCAAAACTGGCTTGTCTGGAGCAAGAATCATCTTCGCTCCAACCGATCTCTCCACTCCCGCTGTCTTTTAAAGCCACTGGGTTCCAGGTCTGACTTTCACTCCCTGCTTTGCCATGTCCAGAGGTGGGTCTTTCTGGATCAGATTCAGACTTGGAACTCTGACCTGGAGATAGGGAACTGGTGCTTGGACAGTCCTGTCCATCCTGGCGCTCAAGACCACCAAAGCTAAGCTTTCTTCTCCCTGCACCTTGAGATCCATCAGACCTTTGATTAGATGCTTCTTGTGTAAAAGGATGGTGTTCATTGTGGTTTGAAGTCTCAACACTAGTGAAAGCAGACTGCCTTGGTGCCTCTTTGTGCTTCCCATCAACAACTTGATATTCTGAGAGTGTATCACCGCAGCTACTTGAGGATTCAACAGCGTAAGGCTTGTAGCAGCCTATACTAACAGTGTTATTTGATTTGTGTGTGTGGTGGGAGTGAGTCTCAGTGCCACCCATTGCTCCTGGCCAAGTCTCTACACCAGATTTGTTTCCAGACCGCATGCATTCAATCTCCATTAAGACGGCATCCACACAGCTGGAGACCTCCTCGACAGAACCACGAACAGATGACAGGTACTCCCTCAAGTCTGAAATCTCCTCTTGAATTTTGTTGATCCCTCGCAATTCCTTCAGTATGTGCTCAACGATAGCACTCGATTCTTCCTCTTGACAGTCCTCATTATTCCCCTCCATGACTTCATCCAGCATCGTCATGCACAGCAGAGTATCTGTCTGTCTTTTTGGCTCACGATCAAGTCCTCTTTCAGATGAAAACCCAGTCCCATTTAGACCTTGGGTCATTTGGTATTGAACTACTGTTGAATTACTATTATGCTGCAAAGTGCAAGGAATCCTGATGCCTCCTTCTCGATTTAGTTCCACTTCCCCAACGCAAGGTGCCCCAGAAACTGCTCCCAGCCCATGTCCATTTGGCACCTGAGGTGAGCAGCAGACCTCTGCTGAAGCTAATCCTCTCCTGTCGTAATTCTGCAATTTTTCAACATCCTCTTCCCCCTCTTCATCCTCTTCTTCAATTCCAGCATAGTAAAGACCAGAAGGCTGGACAGTATGATCTGCAGATCCCTGCAAGAAACGATGAATTTTCCCACGCAACACCAGAGCAACTTTGGGATTTGGCTGCCTTCTCTTTGGCACTGCAGTTTTCTTTTTGGGTCGGGGATACTGAGGGACACCCGTGCCATCCTGACCATTGCAGCGGTTACGGGAGAACATTGCTTTTCCTCCCTTCTTCCGTGCTGTAGATGAATCACATTATTCAGGCTTGAAATATAGCATCTGATGATATAAGTGACAGATTATCAGTCGACTTAAGCAGGGCTAAACATGCGACTATGGGGGGAAAGTACATTTTAAAGCATCACACCAGTGCAAATTTACAGATTTGGTTAAGAAAAGTAAATGAATGATTATGCATTTGGTACTATACTATCAGTTTAATTTAGTTAATGTCCTCCCTTATCAAAGTTTTGTCATGTATTTGCAACAACACAAAGTAATCATCAACACAGAGAATTTATCATATGCATCTCTATTCTGACCATACCAAAGCGCAATTTGATCAATGGTAGCGCACACTTAAAGTGACCAATTATTATTTTTCACATTACCAGGTGCAAAAAATCACTGACAGTGGTAAAATGTATTTTAATTATACTGAAATGTGACACTAATGACATTTATGCCAAAATGAGCAGCTCTATCGGGCTGACTAGCATTTTCCCATCAGAAACACACCTGAAAATCATCCCTTCGTTCTTCATATCTTGAAAACAAAAATCTACCACACAAACATTCACCTAAATAATGTGCATCTTCTGAAGCAAATCAGTGAAGCAAATAAATATCTAAATAAATAAAAGTGAAAGGAAATAAAGTACCATAACACCAGCATTCTGGCAATAATATACAAAGACTTAAAATGCAACAGTACTTTTGGCTTTGCTTATCTGCTGGAGAGAAAACATACAACAGATAAGAAGCACAAAAGATAAACTAAACACCTTTTAAGAACATTCATTAAAAATCCATGGCAACACAGTGGAACAGTAAAGTAATACAGCAAAACAGCACTGACAGTATGTTATGTAATTTCTACTAGTACATATAGACAGGGTGTGATCACCCCCCTGTGATCATCTGTCTACGAGTCATCAATCCCATAAAAGGACGAGGCAGACAGTGGTTCATAGTTCATTCTCATCAGATTGCACAATTAACGGAAATTAATAGAAATTATGCTTCTATCAAAATAACAAAGTAAACGTGCGAATAGCAATAAAGCCCAAATGGATGTTGAGCAGTGGAGCCCTTTGTTAAAAAAAAGGGAGTAAAAATGACTGAATATATACAGTTATGTCTCGTTATTTTATTCAAAAAATAACTACTGATTGATTTTGCATAATCTTGCATTCCTGGCAGGCTGACAGAAATTACTGTCATATCCAATCTATTTATTCAAAGTTTCTCAAGATCAAATAATAATTCATAATTATTCTGTAATTCTTAATGTAACAGCTAAAGCGTGTGAAAGGCTGGACGAGGCTTTGCGTTCCTCTGGCCACAGATTGGAAATTAACAGGGACTTGGGGCAAAAATGCTATCAAATTGGACAAAAATGCCCCTGCACAATTAAACTAAATCCATTACGGCTGTTGCGAATAAAGTGAAAATTAAAAAAAAAAAAAAGTGTCGATTGCGGCATTAAATTTAGATCTGCATCATGCATTTAGATGTTGCATCACATTTCTTTTTAAGTGTTTTTACAGTGTTGCACATTTTAACCAATCACACATGGTTCTGTTGAGCTTACTGGATCAAAGTCCCTTTAAGGCAAGCCATGTCACTCGGAGGCAATCTTTGAAATGCCTCTCAGACATGCAAGTGCAGCTCCGATCTCTTTGAATGGGGAAACATCAAATTCTCCAAAACTGTTCGCCATGCTTAAGATTACATTTCATATTGGACTGTCTCATAAATGTTGTTTCTTTTGCTCAAATAGCGTTAAAAAAGGCTTATTTTTCAGGCTAGACCAGTCAGTGCGCATGCGCATTCCTAAATGCAAGTCTCAAAACGCTGACTGTTTCTATAGCAACCAGGACTTCTAACAGCTGCAGTGACGCGCTGACTTTACTGATTAGCGATTGGCTCTTTTACTCAGAAGGCGGGGCTTAGTTCGATAGAGCGGCCATATTGAGCATTGCATTTTTCCCCATTCAAAACTATACGAGTGACACGTCTTGGGTATTCTATAGTCTTTGATTGGATGCAATAGCGAATCAGAAGCATTCAGATGAGTCATCGCTAAAATACTGGAGTTTATTTCAGTGTGCACGCTCCCTGACTGAATTCTGCTCACTCACGAATTCTCTCATCATAAACAACAAAGTGCAGATGTACTTACATTGGGCCTCATTCATGAAACACGAGCAGAACGATTTTTTGTGTAAATCATTCGGAAAGTCGTTCTGACATAAATTTTCGGATTCATGAAAATGTTCGTATTTTGAAAATGTTAGTTGGTACGAAAGAAATTTACACCTGCTCCCTACAGTGTGTAAATGGTGCATAAAACATTCAAACGTTCTGTATTCTTTTAGACAAACTGATGACACTGCATTTTTATGAACTATGTATTAGAATGATATTTAACA